TTATAATATTATATTACATATATTATATTATAATATACAATTATAATATAATAATAATATAGTAATATAATATATAATATAATAATATAATATACAATACTATAATATAATAGTATTATAATAATATAATATAATATATAATATATATTATATTATTATAATATTATATTATATTATTATATTATATATTATATTATAATTGTATATTATAAAATATAATTACGAAATTACGAAAATAATTACGAAAATTGGAAAAATTGTTTCGATTCTTAATTACTCCTCACACTATTCCTGCATGGCTTGATATTGGATCGTAAGCTAATTTAAATACGAATTAATAACGAATTACGAAATTAACGAACTGGATCGCCCAAGCCTACTATCTATCTATCCATAATTTCTATGTATCTTATTTCTGTCATCTATTTGATTTATTTACTTTATATCTTCCTTCCTTCCTTCCTTCCTTCCTTCCTTCCTTCCTTCCTTCCTTCCTTCCTTATCTCTTTCTATCTTCCATCAATCCATCTGTCTGTCTGTCTGTCTGTCTGTCTGCCTGTCTATCTGCCTGCCTGTCTGTCGGTCTATCCCATCTATTTTATCTCTATCTGTCCGCCTGCCTGTCAGTCTATTTGTCTACATATCTACTGGCAATGCAATTTGATGCAAGCTGAAAGGATGTTCAGTTGCTGCCCTGCACAGAGGTCAAAGAAAAGTCCAAAGCTGCCCAATTATGTAATACAAGTGGTTTGATTCAACTGAGAAACCCATGGCCTTGGATTTGTAAGACCTGAGCAGTACAGTTGATAACTTAGGCTCTCAGGAGCCTGTCATTCCTTGGGTTGCCATACATGGAAGTCAGTTTGACAGCAATAACAATAGTAGTTCTACTTTTCTTGTATCCCTTATTTCTCTCATTGTGATACCCGAGGCAGCTTACAAAGTTAAAAGAAGATAGAAAGTAAAAATGTGATGATAAGGTATCTATGACCTACAAAATTTGTCATTTTAAGGCATGTTCTAGGCCAGTGATGGCGAACCTATGACACGCGTGTCAGTACTGACACGCGTAGCCATTTCTACTGACACGCACCCTCCGGATATTATTTGTTTATTTATTTTATGCCATTTTAAAAAATAAATAGGAAAGAAATTATTATTTTGCAATGTTACCTAAATATTAAGGAGTTTCATATTTAAACTGAATGATAAAATACTATTACTTTGCTATATTATTCAAATATTAAAATGCATTAAATTAAATGTCAAATTTAAAAATATTTAATTATTAATATTTAGGTAACATGCAAAATAATATTGGTTTATTTAATTATTAAGTAAATGAATATTATTTTGCATTGTTTCCTAAATATTAAGGAGTTACATATTTAAATTAAATTAAATGATAAATAATACTTTGCTATATTACTCAAATATTTCAGAATGCCTTAAATGAAATGGTAAATTGAATTTTAATTTGACATTTAATTTAATGCATTTAATTTAATGCATTTTAAATATTTTTAATATATGCCTATATATATATATATATATATATATATATATGCCTTAAATGAAATGGTAAATTAAATATCAAAATATTATTTTGCAATGTTACTTTATTATTATTGCATTATTATTATTATTATTAGAAATACATTAAACAGCATATTAAAAGCTAGAAATACATTTAAATTAAATTAAAAATAAATAATATTTTGTTGGGTTTTTAAAATTATATTTTTATTAAACACTCCAAAAAGGATATTATTTACATAAAGAGAGGTAGAACAACATGATAAGAGAGAAAGTGGGAATTACAATTATATATTTTTTGTTATTTAAACTAAATATTGTGAAATTATGGTTTTTTTCTTGAAGTGACACACCACCTGAATTATGCTCAGTTTTTTGGCAAATTTTGACACACCACTCTCAAAAGGTTGCCCATCACTGTTCTAGGCCATCAAGGCCAGAGGTTTGAGAGGCAAGTAGGAATAGAGCTTGGAAAAGTTACTTCTTAGACCATAATTTCCAGAAGCAACTTGGGGAATTCTTGAAGTTTTTTTTAAAGTAGTATTTCAGTGTTCTGAATCTGCAGACTTCTTCCTCCATTAATGGGAGCCTTTCTTTGAAGAAGGGTGATCTCTGTACTAGGTAAAGGTAAAGGCATTTACCTGACATTAAGTCCAGTCGTGTCCAACTCTGGGGAGTGGTATTCATCTCCATTTCTAAGCTGAAGAGCCGGCATTGTCCATAGATGCCTCCAAGGTCATGTGGCCAGCATGACTGCATAGCGCCGTTACCTTCCCGCCGGAGCGGTACCTATTGATCTACTCACATTTGCATGTTTTTGCACTGCTAGGTTGGCAGAAGCTGGGGCTAACAGCGGGAACTCAACCTGCTCCCCGGATTCGAACCAGTGACCTTTCAGTCCGCAAGTTCGGCAGCACAGCGGTTTAACCCACTGCGCCACCGGGGGCTCCAATCTTTGTCCTTTGTTGTTGTTCATTCGTTCAGTTGTTTCCGACTCTTCGTGACCTCATGGACCAGCCCACACCAGAGCTCCCTGTTGGCTGTCACCTCCCCCAGCTCCTTCAGAGTCAAGCCAATCACTTCAAGGATGCCATCCACCCATCTTGCCCTTGGGATCTCTGTTTTAATAGGTCTCTATTCCTTTATTTTTAGGGCCCTGACAAAAGGCTGCCGATGTGTGGAGCTGGACTGCTGGGACGGCCCCAATTCTGAGCCGGTCATCTACCATGGTTATACACTCACCTCCAAGATCCTTTTCTCCGATGTCATAAAAGCCATCCGGGACTATGCTTTCAAGGTAAGAACAGCTCCCATTCCCAAATGAACCTTATGGATTTGGTTCCCAGTTTAGGGCAAAAGATACTCATACGTTTACTTTGTCTCAGATATCAAAGTGAGATCCCAAAAATGTAGATTTGAGATTATTTATGCTTCAGAACTTCATTTGCACTCAAAGATGTCTTGGATGATTATTTTTCTTTGCACCCAAAAGGTAACATTTCGTTCAGCTTAGCACGTTATTTCCTACACAATAAAAAAAAAAATTCTGCGCAGAATATATCTTTGTACAAGTTAATATCTGGTGTACCCAGCCACTAGCCATGAGAGGAGGCAGGGAACAACAACACCACAACTGAAGAGAGATATTGACAAACTGGAATGTGTCCAGAGGAGGGCGACTAATATGATCAAGGGTCTGGAAAACAAGCCCTATGAGGAGCGGCTTAAGGAGCTGGGCATGTTTAGCCTGAAGAAGAGAAGGCTGAAAGGAGATATGATACAGTAGGCTTGGGCGATCCAGTTCATTAATTTCGTAATTCGTTATTAATTCGTATTTAAATTAGCTTACGGAGCCATGCAGGAATAGTGTGAGGAGTAATTAAGAATCGAAACAATTTTTGCAATTTTCGTAATTATTTCGTAATTATTTCGTAATTATTTTCGTATGTCTTAATATAATATACAATAATATAATATAATAATATATAATATAATATAATAATAATATAATATAATATAATATACAATAATATAATATAATATAATAATAATATAATATAATATAATAATATAATATAATATAATATAATATAATATAATATATAATAATATAATATAATATAGTTGTTGTTTGTTTTATCACACCAACAGTCAACAACAGAGGGAGAGGGAAGCTTCAGAAGTTCCCCCTGTCCCATTTGGAGGTTTTTTTAGCATATTGCGCAATCGCGTCCGCCATTAACGAATCAATTCGAAATTTACGAAATTTCGTAAATTTCGAAATTTTTTAAAGAAAAAATTCGGAATTCTTTAAAAAAACGAAACGCAATGGACCCCCTAAAAACGAAACGAGTTTAGAAACAATTTTTTCCGTTGTTACCCAAGCCTAATAGCCATGTATAAATATGTGAGAGGAAGCCACAGGGAGGAGGAAGCAAGCTTGTTTTCTGCTTCCTTGGAGACTAGGACGCAGAACAATGGCTTCAAACTACAAGAGAGGAGATTCCATCTAAACATGAGGAAGAACGTCCTGACTGTGAGAGCCGTTCAGCAGTGGAACTCTCTGCCTCTGAGCCTGGTGGAGGCTCTCTCTTTGGAAGCTTTTAAACAGGGGCTGGATGGCCATCTGTCAGGGATGCTTTGAATGCAATATTCCTGCTTCTTGGCAGGGGGTTGGACTGGATGGCCCATGAGGTCTCTTCCAATTCTTTGATTCTATGATTCTAACAACAATATTAATTGATGATGATGTTGATGATGGAAGAAAATACTAAAGTGCAAGTAGTCATTGAAAGCGGCACAGTAATGTCACTATTAAATTAGGCCCTATCTACTGTTGTAATGCAGATTTGAACTTGATTATAGGGCAGTGTAGACTCATATGCTATTTGAAACTGCAGGATATGGTCAGAGTAGACTCATATAATGCAGTTTAAAGGCACTGAACTATATTATATGGTGCAGTTTCAAACTGCATTATATAGCAGTGTAGACGGGACACAAGTCACAAGTCAACAGATCTGCTTTTCGCCTCCTAAACTAGTTTGTTGGTTTTGAATGCAATGGTAAGATACAGTCTTTTTTTTAAATTGAAGACAGAACTGTCCAGCGATACTTTGACCAGTTTTGTATGTAAAATAGATGGATAAATCATCTCGTTCTTCAGTTTAGTCTATAATAATAGGACCTAAATGTTAGGAGATTCCATCTGAACATTAGGAATAACTCCCTGACTGTGAGAGCCATTCAGCAGTGGAACTCTCTGCCCTAGAGTGTGGTGGAGGCGCCTTCTTTGGAGGCTTTGAAGCAGACGCTGGATGGCCATCAGTCAGGGGTGCTTTGAATGTGATTTTCCTGCTTCTTGGCAGGGGGTTGGACTGGATGGTCCACCAGGTCACTCCCAACTCTAGGATTCTATGATTCTAGGAAAGTGCAATCCCAGTTCCAGAAAATGCAATCCCAGTTCCAAAAGACTGGGAACTGCCTTCGACATAACTTAACGTGGATCTCGAACTTGCATTGTCTCTATTATTTTTTCCCTGCTAAAATGCTACGCTTTGAAATGAATGAATGAATGAATGAATGGTTTCCTTTGTTAGCATGCTGAATATTAAGCATTGTGTGGACTCGGTGGACCTTGTTAGAGAAGCTTTTCCACAACAGCGGTGCTTCTTATTGAGCAAGACCTGCCCTGGGCATCACTCAGTCCTATGTACTTAGGTTCTGAGAAAGAGATCAAGGGTTAGAGATGTCTATATAGAATCATAGAATCAAAGAGTTGGAAGAGACCTCATGGGCCATCCAGTCCAACCCCATTCTCCAAAGAAGCAGGAATATTGCATTCAAAGCACCCCTGACAGATGGCCATCCAGCCTCTGTTTAAAAGCCTCCAAAGAAGGAGCCTCCACCACACTCCAGGGCAGAGAGTTCCACTGCTGAACGGCTCTCACAGTCAGGAAGTTCTTCCTCATGTTCAGATGGAATCTCCTCTCTTGTAGTTTGAAGCCATTGTTTCGCGTCCTAGTTCCAGGGAAGCAGAAAACAAGCTTGCTCCCTCCTCCCTGTGGCTTCCTCTCACATATTTATACATGGCTATCATATCTCCTCTCAGCCTTCTCTTCTTCAGGCTAAACATGCCCAGCTCCTTAAGGCCGCTCCTCATAGGGCTTGTTCTCCAGACCTTGATCATTTTAGTCGCCCTCCTCTGGACACATTCCAGCTTGTCAATATCTCTCTTGAATTGTGGTGCCCAGAATTGGACACAATATTCCAGGTGTGGTCTAACCAAAGCAGAATAGAGGGGTAGCATTACTTCCCTAGATCTAGACACTATGCTCCTATTGATGCAGGCCAAAATCCCATTGGCTTTTTTTGCCACCACATCACATTGTTGGCTCATGTTTAACTCTGTTGTCCATGAGGACTCCAAGATCTTTTTCACACGTACTGCTCTCGAGCCAGGCATTGTCCCCCATCCTGTATCTTTGCATTTCGTTTTTCCTGCCAAAGTGGAGTATCTTGCATTTGTCACTGTTGAACTCTATTTTGTTAGTTTTGGTTAGTTATATAGGAGGAGACTGGTGCATATAAGGCAAATGTGTGATTGCTCTTTTTTGTTGCCTTCCTCTACAGACCTCTCTGTATCCTGTCATCATCTCCCTGGAGAACCACTGCAGCCTTGAGCAGCAGAAGAGGATGGCCCACCACCTCCACACCATCTTGAAAGACATGCTCTTGGTGGCACCCATTGACCCCAATGCAACTACGCTCCCTTCGCCAGAGGTGAGGTTATGGACATTTTACCAGTGGGAAACTGGTGGCTTCCATGTCACTCAGGAGCCATTGGCTCCATTCACAATGTTAATTCAGACTTTGAAGGGGTTTTCCATGGTATGCAATCTATTTTGGGGATTCTTGTTGTTGCCATAATGTAGTCTATTCTAAGAATGCATCTACGTGATAGAATTAATGCAGTTTGACACTGCCTTGGTTCAGTGTGATGGAAATCATGGGGACTGTAATTTAGTGATGCATAAGACATCTTTGGCAGAGAAGGCTAAAGATGTTGTAAAACTCCAACTTCTAGACTTCCATAGCATTGAGCTTGGGCAGTTAGAGTGGTGTCAAACTGCAATAATTCTTCATTGTAGACGCACCCTAAGAAACATGGGCAAACATTCAAGGCACTCTTATCTCTTGTTTTAATTATGTATCCCACCTTGAGCCACAGGGAGAAACATGCAATACATTATTATTATTATTATTATTATTTGAAACACAATGAGTCACAGCAGATACTCTGCTGGCTGTTGTACTGGATCACACGTCGGAAACTTCCCAAGTGTCTTGGACTGTGTGATGTATTTGCGAATAATGCAGATCCCAGTAAGGTGGCCTTCTGAAGCTGGCAGATGGTAATTTTGTCAGCACCGATCGTGTTTAAGTGCAGGCCAAGGTCTTTAGGCACTGCACCCAGTGTGCTGATCCCCACTGGATCCACCTTGACTGGCTTGTGCCAGAGATGATGATGATGATGATGATGATGATGATGATGATGATGATGATGATTATTATTATTATTAACACAACAGGATTAGTACACAGTGAACAAGATCACTATGCTGGATATTGTAATGGATCACATGTCGGACACTTCCCAAGTGTCTAGAACTGTGTGATGTATTGCCGAATAATGCATGCAGATCCGAGTAGGGTGGCCTTTTGCAGCTGACAGATGATAAGTTTGTCAGCGCCAATTGTGTTTAAGTGTCTTTAGACACTGCATCCAGTGTGCCAATCACCACTTGGGCCACCTGTACTGGTTTGTGCCAGAGTCTTTGCAGTTATTATTATTATTATTATTATTATTATTATTATTATTATTATTTTACGGACACAAAAACACAGTATGTCACAAGGTTCTTGTGGGTTTTTTCGGGCTATAGAGCCATGTTCTAGAGGCATTTCTCCTGACGTTTCGCCTGCATCTATGGCAAGCATCCTCAGAGGTAGTGAGGTCTGTTGGAATTAGGACAATGGGTTTATATATCTGTGGAATGGCTGGGGTGGGGCAAGGAGCTCTTCCCTGCTGCAGTTAGGTGTGAATGTTTCAGCTGATCACCTTCATTAGCATTTGAAGGCTTGCCTGAGCCTGGGAAAATCTCTTGCTGGGAGGTGTTAATCTGTGCCTGGTTGTTTCCTCTCTGTTGTTTTGCTGTTGTAATTTTAGAGTTTTTTAATACTGGTAGCCAGATTTTGTTCATTTTCATGGTCTCTTCCTTTCTGTTGACATTGTCCACATGCTTGTGGATTTCAATGGCTTCTCTGTGTAGTCTGATATGGTGGTTGTTGGTGTGGTCCAGCATTTCTGTGTTCTCAAATAATATGCTGTGTCCAGGCTGGTTCATCAGGTGCTCTGCTATGGCTGACTTCTCTGGTTGAAGTAGTCTGCAGTGCCTTTCATGTTCCTTGATTCGTGTTTGGGTGCTGCGTTTGGTGGTCCCTATGTAGACTTGTCCACAGCTGCATGGTATACGGTAGACTCCTGCAGAGGTGAGAGGATCCCTCTTGTCCTTTGCTGAACGTAGCATTTGTTGGATTTTCTTGGTGGGTTTGTAGCTTGTTTGTATGTTGTGTTTCCTCATCAGCTTCCCTATGCGGTCAGTGGTTCCCTTGATGTATGGCAGGAACACTTTTCCTCTGGGTGGATCTTCATCTTTACTCTCGTGGCTTGTTCTTGGTCTTGCAGTATGTCACAGCAAATGAGACATATATACTGGATTTCGTATCACAAAATCACAAGTTGGACATTTCCCAAGCAACTAGGACTGTGTGATGTATTTTCGAATTATGTGCACAGATCCAAGCAAGGTGGCCTTTTGCATTATTATTATTATTATTATTATTATTATTATTATTATTATTATTATTATTACTGGAAACACAACAAGGTGAATCCACAGAGACACTCTGCTGGCTGTTGTATTGGATCACACGTCAGACACTTCCCAAGTGTCTAGGACTGTGAGATGTACTGGCGAATGCTGCATGCAGATCCCAGTAAGGTGGCCTTCTGCAGCTGCCAGCGCCAATTGTGTTTAAGTGCAGGCCAAGATGTTTAGGCACTGCACTCAGTGTGCCGATCACCACTGGGACCACCTTTACTGGCTTGTGCCAGAGTCTTTGCAGTTCGATCTTTAAATCCTCATATCGTGTCAACTTTTCCAGTTGTTTCTCTTCAATCCTGTTGTCACCTGGGATTGCAACATCAACGATCCATACTTTGTCTTTTAACACAATCGTGAAGTCAGGAGTATTGTGTTCCAAAACTCTATCTGTCTGAATTTGGAAGTCCCAGTGTAGCTTGACGTGTTCATTTTCTGTAACCTTTTCAGGATTGTGATCCCACCAGTTCTTTGTCGCAGAACTATTATTATTATTATTATTATTATTATTATTATTACACCAAGCTGGTTACAACATTGTAATTAGCTTGATGCAAGGAAGACTTACGAAACAGATAATCAAAATAATGTATGGTTCTCTTCATTAGCATGCTACTAATTACTGAAGAGGATGGTAAACATTGTTTCCAGAGACACATTTTCTTAATTGACATGTGTCTTTGGAAACGAGGTAATGCTGCTCAAAGAAATTACCCACATTTCTTCATGCCAAAATATGTGTATTTTGGCGCAGAATTATTTCATGGAATACTTTGGAATATTTCCCAGAGCATGGGAAATAAACAAGACGAACTCCAACTTTTAGCACAACACCACAAATATGATATCATAGGGATCACTGAAACCTGGTGGGATGACTCCTATCGCTGGAATGTAGATATCGAGGGGTATAACCTCTTTCACAGAAACCGAACAAAGGGGAGAGGAGGCGGAGTAGCCTTATATGTCAAAAACTCTTATGCTGCAGAAGAGATTCAAGACAGCAATCTGGGAAACCAGCTTGAAATCATCTGGATAAGAAAATCAAGGGAACTGGGACTCAAAAAGATGTCGTTGTAGGCGTCTACTACAGACCCCCAAGCCAGGAGGAAGAACTTGATGAAGTCTTCTGCCAACAGTTGACCAAACAGGCACAGAAGAGATGTAGTAGTCATGGGCGATTTCAACTATCCCGATATTTGCTGGAAAACAAACTCGGCAAGAGTACAAGGTCCAACAAATTCCTCGCTTGCCTTGCAGACAATTTCATGGTCCAGAAGGTAGAAGAGGCAACAAGGGGATTGGCTACTCTTGATCTCATCCTAACAAATGCGGAGGACCTGATCGATGCGGTCGAAGTGGTAGGATCCTTAGGGGCAAGTGACCATGTGCTCCTGCAATTTGAGGTACAAAGGAAGGCCGAAACTAAGACAAGTCAAACCCGCATTTTGGACTTTAGGAGAGCTGATTTCCAAAAAATGAAGGAAACACTGAGCAGCATTCCGTGGACACAGATACTAAAAGACAAGGGAGTTACGGATGGATGGGAGTTTCTCAAGAGTGAAATACTCAAGGCGCAATTGCAAACTGTGCCAACAAAGAGAAAAAATAGGACAAGTGCAAAGAAACCAGAATGGATGTCCAAAGAACTTCTAACTGTGCTAAGACACAAAAGAGACATGCACAAGAAGTGGAAAAAGGGAGAAATCACCAAAGAAGAATTCAAACAAATAGCCAACACCTGTAGGGAAAAGGTCCGCAAGGCTAAAGCACAAAACGAGCTCAGGCTTGCCAGGGACATTAAAAACAATAAAAAGGGCTTCTTTTCTTATGTCAGTAGAAAAAGGAAGAACAAGGAGGCGATAGGGCCTCTTCGAGGAGAAGATGGGGCAATGCTGACAGGGGATAGGGAAAAGGCAGAACTACTTAATGCCTTCTTTGCCTCGGTCTTCTCACAAAAAGAGAGTCTTCAACCTCAGCAAGATGGAGTGGATGAGGGATTGGAGGACATCCAACCCCAAATTGGGAAAGAAGTCGTCCAGGAATACCTGGCCGCTCTTAATGAGTTCATGTCCCCAGGGCCAGATCAACTACACCCCAGAGTATTGAAGGAACTAGCGGAAGTCATTTCGGAACCATTGGCAACCATCTTTGAGAGTTCTTGGAGAACGGAGAAGTTCCAGCAGATTGGAGGAGGGCCAATGTGGTCCCAATCTTCAAGAAGGGAAAAAAGGATGACCCAAACAACTACCGTCCGGTCAGCCTCACGTCGATACCAGGCAAGATTCTGGAAAAGATTGTTAAGGAAGCGGTCTGCAAACACTTAGAAACAAATGCAGTCATCGCTAATAGTCAACATGGATTTATCAAAAACAAGTCATGCCAGACTAATCTGATCTCTTTCTTCGATAGAGCTACAAGCTGGGTAGATGCGGGAAATGCCATGGATGTAGCGTACCTGGATTTCAGTAAGGCCTTCGACAAGGTCCCCCATGACCTTCTGGCAAGGAAACTAGTCCAATGTGGGCTAGGCAAAACTACGGTGAGGTGGGTCTGTAATTGGTTAAGTGGACGAACACAGAGAGTGCTCACTAATGCTTCCTCTTCATCTTGGAAAGAAGTGACAAGTGGAGTGCCACAGGGTTCCGTCCTGGGCCCAGTCCTGTTCAACATCTTTATTAATGACTTATATTAAGGGTTAGAAGGCATGATCATCAAGTTTGCAGGTGACACCAAATTGGAAGGGATAGCCAATACTCCAGAAGACAGGAGTAGAATTCGAAATGATCTTAACAGATTAGAGAGATGGGCCAAAACTAACAAAATGAAGTTCAACAGTGACAAATGCAAGATACTCCACTTTGGCAGAAAAAATGAAATGCAAAGGTACAGAATGGGGGACAATGCCTGGCTCGAGAGCAGTACGTGTGAAAAAGATCTTGGAGTCCTCGTGGACAACAAGTTAAACATGAGCCAACAATGTGATGTGGCGGCAAAAAAGCCAATGGGATTTTGGCCTGCATCAATAGGAGCATAGTGTCTAGATCTAGGGAAGTAATGCTACCCCTCTATTCCGCTTTGGTTAGACCACACCTGGAATATTGTGTCCAATTCTGGGCACCACAATTCAAGAAAGATATTGACAAGCTGGAATGTGTCCAGAGGAGGGTGACTAAAATGATCAAGGGTCTGGAGACAAGCCCTATGAGGAGCGGCTTCAAGAGCTGGGCATTTTTAGGCTGCAGAAGAGAAGGCTGAGAGGAGACATGGTGAGGGCCATGGATAAATATGGAGAGGAGGGAGCAAGCTTGTTTTCTGCTTCCCTGGAGACTAGGACGCGGAACAATGGCTTCAAACTACAAGAGAGGAGATTCCATCTGAACATGAGGAAGAACTTCCTGACTGTGAGAGCCGTTCAGCGGTGGAACTCTCTGCCCCGGAGTGTGGTGGAGGCTCCTTCTTTGGAAGCTTTTAAGCAGAGGCTGGATGGCCATCTGTCAGGGGTGATTTGAATGCAATATTCCTGCTTCTTGGCAGAATGGGGTTGGACTGGATGGCCCATGAGGTCTCTTCCAACTCTTTGATTCTATGATTCTATGATTCTATGTGAATATTGTATTTTTGTTTTTTGTTTTCCTCTAGCAACTCAAAGGGAAGATCCTGGTGAAAGGGAAGAAGCTCAGCCCGGAAACAGAGGAAGTTTCGGATGAGGATGAAGCAGCAGAAATGGACGATGAGATTGTGAAGAAAGAATTCGAACAGAAGAGGATGGTGAGCCCTACAAAGAGTTCACTTGGTTGTGGCATTTCAGAAAGACATTCCCAATAGCTCCAGCACTTTGCAATAAAGGCCTTTGCACACAGCTGAATGAAATCCCACATTATCTGCTTTGAACTGGAATATATGGCAGTGTGGACTCAGATAATCCAGTTCAAAGTTGATATGGTGGGATTCTCTGCCTTGATATTCTGGGTTATATGGCTGTATGGAATGGCCCTAGACTGCCATACAAAATCCAGATCATCTGTTTTGAACTGGATTATATGCGATATAATCCAGTTCAAGGCAGATAATGTGGATTATGGGTTATATGACAGTGTAGAAGGGGCCTAAGGCTGGATCTACACTGCCTCATAATCCAGTTTCAGAATGTGGATAAACTGCATTGAATTGAATTATATCAGTGTGCACTGCCCAGTTCAATGCAGTTAATTCTGAAACTGGATTAAGTGGTAGCGTAGATACAGCTTAGATATTACAGCATGAATCTGTGATCCCATCTGCACTATTCTATAATTCAGTTTCAGAATGCAGATTAACTGCATTGATATGATCCTTCTAGGAATTTAAGATCATCTGGGGAGGCCCTGCTCTTGATCCCGCCTACCTCGCATCTGGCTGGGACGAGAGACAGGGCCTTCTCAATGGTGGCCCCTCAGCTGTGGAACTCCCTTCCCAGGGATATTAGATCGGCCCCCTCCCTCCAGACCTTGCGAAAAAGGGTGAAAACTTGGCTCTTTGAACAAGTGTTTGGAGCTTCAGCATGACCAGATAGACACAATATTGTAATACGAACACGGAATGGCCAAGACGGTGTAAATGGATGAGGAATTGGTCTGGAATACACTTTTTAAAATAGATTTTAATAGATTTTTATGGATTTTATATGTATTTATGATGTGATTTAATTTCTTTTAACTAATATATGTGTGTGTGTGTGTGTGTGTGTGTGTGTGTGTGTGTGTGTGTGTGTGCATGTGTGTGTGTGTGGCATCTAATTGCTGCCAGTCTGTATGCTGCACTGAGTCACCTTCGGGCTGAAATGGGCAGGATAGAAATGATATAAATAAATAAATAAATAAATAAATAAATAAATAAATAAATAAATATTTATTTATTTATTTATTTATTTGCCTTGCCTTGTATGTGAAAGACCTATGGTCTAAGCATCGAATAAACTATGCTAATAAATAAATAAATCTGGATTATACTATGTAACAAAATTGCAAAATTTTCTGTTCCTGGTTTGGAAGTGTTATTTCCCATTTAATTGTGCAGTCCTTACTTTGAAAGTAGCCGTTCTACTCCAGAAATGTCATTTTTGTGGCTGCCACAAAGTATGCTGAAATGCTTGAGACTATATATTAAATCACGCCACTTGCCACCACTTTAACGAAGTATATATCATAAATGCTGACGCGAGGCTGGAGGCTTATTGATAATATGTCTGGGCAGGATGAATCTTCACCAAAAATTTTCCTTTCCACAAAAATCCCACCCCAGTGCCTCCAATATGATAGCGAGACAATGATGTATATGTGATATAGCGAAGTGAATACCGCTTGTCTTTAATCTCCCTAATTGGATTAAAGCTGCCACCAACCTAAGTATTTTTAGGATTTTTAAAATGAGTATCTGAGGTAAACTTTCCCACTCCTGCCAACACTGCTTTTCCCCTGGCTCCCAAATAACTGTTTGTTGAGGCTTTTCTGGAGTATCAGGATGTTAAAAATGCTGGAACGATCACAAAGGCTTGATGATTGAATGATGCACAGTAGAGATCTTTTTGAAAGATAAATAGGACAAGATTTATTTATAAAACTACTTCTGAGAGGTACAAAAAGCGTGACTTGTTATAAAAGTACTTCAGCTTGATGGTTGCTTGACTAAGTTTCTTCACTTAGTTACAGACAGAGTTAACCAAACAAATCCCACTGTTGGCAACAAAAACTCTCACTCTACTTCAGAGAAATAGTAATGAGTTCTGACTAACCTATCCTAGGTAGTCCCTGGGTTATTAACAAACTCTTCCCTAGAGTTCTTCCTGCTAACTAACCCAGCCTATAGAGTTAATCTCTTGTGCTAACAAAAAGAAATCAGGTTGCTGACATTTATAACCTAGGAACAAGAATTGCATTAAATAGTGTTATAGGGCAATATAATCCAGTTTTATGAGTCTGCACTGACCATTATAATGCAGTTCAACCTAGAGTATATGGAAGTGTAGATGGGGCCAAAGAGAGTTAAAGTGGTGCCAAACTGCATTAATTCTACAGTGTAGAAGCACCCTTATTGAGGAAAAATATATCCTTTTTGGACCCTTGAGAGGTAAATTGCAATAAGTGGTAAGCTGAAGCCTTGACTCCCTTATTTTATTTTTATTTCTTTGTTAGAGTGAGAAACTGAAGCTTGCAAAGGAGCTTTCCGACACGGTCGTCTACTGCAAAAGCGTCCACTTTAAAGGCTTCAATAACACAAGTCCTCAAGCCTACAACGAGATGTCGTCCTTCACCGAGAGCAAGGCTCTTAAGCTGGCTCAGGAATCCGGTATGTAGTTTAAAGGTTATGCAAAGCTCATCTGATATGCAACCCAAGGTATGGGCGCAGCTGGTGCACAGGTTTTCATTGTGTGAAGGCTCCCCTGGCCTCCGTCAAGACCGGGGGTTCCAGGCTCAGTGATGCATCCAGGATCACCCCCAAACTGTTCTCCCCAATTCCCCACCCTGCCCTTTCCTCCCCTTCCTCTTCTCTTTTGGATGCTGAAAGTGAAAGAGAGACAGGAAATGTTTGGATCCCAAAAGGGTTGGCCTTGGTCAGGATGAGTTGGTGGACGAGAGAGGAAAAAGTGTATCCATGAGACCCCATGTTGCCTATTCTTGATATAGGATCCTAGAATTCTAGGGCCATCCAGTCCAACCCACTGCCATGCAAGAAGGCACAATCAAAGCACTCCTGATAGACAGCCTCTGCGGAAAAGCCTCCACACTCACGGGTAGCCTATGCTACTCTCCAGGAAATTTTTTCCTAATATTTTCAGTTGAAACTTTTCCCCTGCCATTTGAAACCATTGTTCCCTTGTGGAAGGTGGAAGGGAATGGAGGGAAGGAAGGGAGGGAGGGAGGAAAGAGAAGGAKGGAAAGACAAAAGAGTGGAAGGGTAAGAGGAAGGAAAAAGAGAAGGAAGAGAGGAAGAGAAGGCTGTAAGGAAGGATGAAAGGGTAAAAGGGAAGTATGAAAGGAAGGGAAGGAGGAAGGAAAAAAGAAGGAGGAAAGGAAGGGAGGAAGAGAAGGATGGAAGGAAGGAAGGATGAAAAGGGTGGAAGGGAATGGAAGGAAGGGAGAAAAGAGAAGGAATGAAAGACAAAAGGGAAGGAAGGAAGGAAGGAAGGAAGGAAGGAAGGAAGGAAGGAAGGAAGGAAGGAAGGAAGGAAGGAAGGAGAAAGGGGGGAGAGGYAAGGAGGGATGAAAAAGGAAAGGGAGGAAGGATGAAAGGGTGGAAGAGAAGGAAGAAGGGAGGGAGAAAGAGGGAGGTAAGGAAGGGAGGGAAGAAGGAAGGAGAGAAAGAAGGAAGGAAGGATATGACGGTGAGAGAGAGGAGGGCTTGAGAAAAGAGCCCAAGGAACCTGGGTTTGTCAATACCTGGTCTAAATACAATTGCAAGCTGCAACGTAAAAGTAAGGATTATATAAATCCCAGAGAGGCAATAGGAATTAGACCAATGTTGACTTACCAATCAGTGATGGATAGATACAATAGATCCTCTCTTTATGGTACAAGCTATTAGAATTAATCCTATATATCATAACAGAACTATTTCCTTTTGTTTATTTACCCTTTGTCAAAAGCAATACTTATTCAACTTTTAAACTGCACATATGAAATAAGCAAAAAAGGAAGGGAAAATAAAACAAAAGAGGGAGAGAAAGAGAAAATGGAAAGAGAAAAGAAGATTCACAGGCTATAGCTAAGGATACAAATTAGTACAAGCTAACTATATCCCAAACAACTAACATTGGCATTTATAAGATACACACAATTGGTTTGGCATAGGCTTTCTGGGATTCCATGCTATTCGGTGTCTCAAGACTCTGTGGGTTTTGTTAAGGTAATGCTTATGCATAATTAGAGCATTAAGAGTCATTGAAGAATAACTATTTGTCTTTCCAGTCTTGGAACAGACTGCTTTTTGAGACAATAGACTGTGAATTAATTAAATTAAATTAAATGTTCCAGGAACAGCATTTTTTGAAATAGAAACATCCACAAGCACCCAGAATTATTCAGACACAAGATTCAACTGCATTATATGGACACTGTAGAGTCGACAGTAAAGGTGCTCCCAGTAAAGCCAGTAAAAGTGGTCCCAGTGGTGATCGGCACACTGGGTGCAGTGCTTAAAGACCTTGGCCTGCACTTAAAAACAATCAGCAGTGACAAAATTACCATCTGTGAGCTGCAAAAGGTCACCCTACTTGGATCTGCATGCATTATTTGCCGATACATCACACAGTGGTAGATGCTTGGGAAAGGTCCGACGTGTGATCCAATACAAAAGCCAGCAAGGTGATCTTGTTTGCTGTGTACTAATCTTGTTGTGTATCAAATAACAACAACAATAACAACATACTTTATTTATATTCCGCTCTATCTCCCCAAGGGGACTCAGAGCAGATTACAGAATACATATATGGCAAATGTGAGGAACCCTTACCTTTAGCAACCAGAACATGGGCCTAGCAAAGCCTAACGACCTGAACAGTTACAATGTGGGCCTAGCGAAGCCCTGGCAGCCATCTTAGGATAGGGAAACAGGGAGACGCCATCTTAGGAACAGGACATTGCTTATGGTCTGTTTATCTTATTCCTGAGGAAGGCTAGGCCAAGGTTGTTTGGCTAGATTCCAGAAAGTGGGAATTTGGTTTAGAATTATCATCAGAGATTAATTTCCTGAGATAATCTCTTGTTTGTTAACTTTAGATTTGAACCCAGTACCCATCTAAGGATTGTACATCAAACGTAACCAAAAGCTTTTGTGCCATTAATTTACAGAAACCATTACACATTTGTACCAGAAGAGTTTACGCCTGTTAAATAAATGTTTTATTATAGTTAACACATTACAACACCCTGTGTGTGAATGCCATTGATATTTAAACCTTCTGAGGAAAATAAACAGTATAGTAACGCAGAAGGGTGTTACTAAGTATCCTCTCCACACATATAACTCAGCCTGAATACTAAGCAATAASGTGGCWGCATATCCCAATTGAAGAAACAGTTTCAAAACCTCACAGTTCAGACYTCATTCAAATATWGCTATACKCAGTTATATCTTTCCCTGTTTTATCAATCTCCCTCCTGTGATATTCCTTATAAATTGGTGAAMCAGCYTTGSGATTATTTTRATATTTTTCCCTGTCTGATAAATTAAAATTATTWAAAATCTTTTCTACTCCTCGGCCTTTCTTCCTGAGGTTCCTTATAGCAAACATTCAARTCCATTATYCAATTGGCAACAGACAGACAGTACATAGACAGAGGCAAGYCTTCCCTCTTTTTCATCTCCYGCATCTGGAGGCTGTGCTCAARTTGGCCATAGGGAGGTGCTGTTGTTCCATTGTCCATGCCGAGAAGCCTGTTGTCAGTGGATGCCTTCCTYATCTAATTTTGCTGYCATGTATTRYGGRYCCTTTTARCTCCCTGCCAAAGCMGTACCTATTTATCTACTCACATTGCTATTTTCAAACTGCTASGTAAGCAGAAGCCAGGCRGACGGTGGGAGCTTACTCCCACCCACGGCTGTAGCTTCTGCTTACCTAGCAGAATGTTCAATCCGCATTATATGATTCTACAGTGCCCATATAATGCAATTCAAATTGGCAATGTAGATGGGGCTTATGTTTCAAAATATCAAACCGGCATTTCCTTTCCAAACCTGATGAGTTCCTCTTCCAACTAACCAAGTCTAGAAACTTTCTACTGACTCAGTAGTACACCATAGAATTTAACGAAGTTCCCATGTTGTGCAAGAGGAAGAAAGGTAACATTTCATTCTTTGTTTTCATTCCAGGAACCAGTTTCATCCATCACAACGTCAGGCAGCTAAGCAGGATCTACCCAGCAGGACGGAGGACGGATTCTTCGAACTATAATCCGGTCGACATGTGGAACGTGGGCTCCCAGATCGGTAAATGGGGTGGATTGCATTGCAAACCCATTGGGTTGTATCAAGATATTGTTGTCCTGAAAGTAAACTATTGAAATCAAAGGACCGTAAGCTAACCATAACAATCCTGCTTCACCAAAAATTAGGCCTATCTGTAAAATAAGCCCTTGCACGATTTTTCTTCAGGATGCTCATAATATAAGCCCTACCCCAAAAATGAGCCCCAGGTTAAGATTGTCAGCCAGATGGACGCGTTTTGTATGTCCGTTGCAGCACAAGAGACATGTTAGGGTAAAGATAAAAGTTTTCCCCTGACATTAAGTTCAATCATATCCGACTATGGGGGTTGGTGCTCAACTCCATTTCTAAGCTGAAGAGCCGGCGTTGTCCATAGCCACCTCCAAAGTCATGTAGCCGGCATGACTGCATGGAGCGCCGTTACCTTCCCGTTGGAGCAGCACCTATTGATCTACTCACATTTGCATGTTTTCGAACTGCTAGGTTGGCAGAAGCTGGAACTAACAGCGGGAGCTCACCCTGCTCCCCGGATTTGAACCTGCGACCTTTCGGTCAGCAAGTTCAGCAGCTCAGTGCTTTAACCCACTGCGCCAATGGGGGCTGATGTTATGAATGATAAAATAATAACATTACAATTTGATTAAATATAAATAAATAATATTATTTATGTAATAGTATTGTGATGATGTTCCAGAAGAAGAGGACATGACTGTATTTGAAAAATACAGTCTTCCTTGGAAAATAATAATAATAATAATACTTCATTTGTACCCCACTACCATCTCCCCAAGGGACTTGGTGCGCTTACATGAGGCCAAGCCCACAGCACATCAATAAACAAAAGCAATAACAATAATCAATACAAAACAGTTAAAATAAACTCAAAAACAGAAAATACACAATAAGCAATAAACAATAACAATATCAAAAATTATACATATTTTGGGGGAAATACAGTATGTTGGAGTTCATTGATGTCCATCCCCATGAGATTTATTCATGAACTTATTGATCTGTGAGGTCAGAATGGGGGTAGGTGAAGGTAATATCCGACTCTGGGGGTTGGTGCTCATCTCCATTTCTAAGCCAAAGAGCCAGCATTGTCCATAGACACCTCCAAGGTCATGTGGCTGGCATGACTGCATGGAGTACCGTTATCTTCCCACTGGAGCGGTGCCTATTGATCTGCTCACACTTGCATGCTAGGTTGGTAGAAGCTAGGGCTAACAGCGGGAGCTCACCCCGCTCCCCAGATTTGAATCGGCTCCTTTTTGGTCAGCAAGTTCAGCAGTTCAGTGGTTTAACCCACTGTGCCACTGGGGGCTCCCAGAATGGGAGTAGTTGGAGTTATTAGGGGAAAAAACCCCTCTTTTTTTGCATAATTCTTATTAAAATCCAAACTACAGGAGAAGAGGGTCCACTTCAACATTAGGAAATTTTAATCAGTTTGTCTTCTTGATTACTACATGTTGCCCGCCCATTATTATAGTGCCTGTGCATATTTTTTTTTTTCATATTGTTATGTATTCATGTGTTTTATTTAACTATGATGTTATTGTTTATTGTTCGCTTTTCGGTTTGTGTTTTTGGTTTTTCTTTATTGTAATTGTCATTTGGACTTGGCCTCATGTAAGCCGCTCCGAGTTCCCATTGGGGAGATGGAGGCGGCGTAACAAATAAAGATTATTATTATTATTATTATCATTATTATTATTGACAGTAAGAGCCATTCAGCAGTGGAATATACTGCATTGAAGTCTGGTGGAGTCTCCTTCTCTGGAGGTTTTTAAGCAAAGTTTGGATGGCCATCTGTTGGGAGAGTTTTAATTGTATTGTCGAAAGCTTTCATGGCCGGAATGATTTCATGGCAGGAGAGAATGCTTCTAGAACATGGCCATATTGCCTGAAAAACCTACAACAACCCAATTTTATTTGTATTTTCTTACATAGGAGTATGTTGGACTAGATAACCTTTATGGTCTCCTCCAACTATGATTCTATTCTGTCCAGAATAGGGATTTGGTCAACAAATCATTTCTTATGGGGCTTAGAATCATAGAATCAAAGAGTTGGAAGAGACCTCATGGGCCATCCAGTACAACCCCATTCTGCCAAGAAGCAGGAATATTGCATTCAAATCACCCCTGACAGATGGCCATCCAGCCTCTGTTTAAAAACTTCCAAAGAAGGAGCCTCCACCACACTCCGGGGCAGAGAGTTCCACTGCTGAACGGCTCTCACAGTCAGGAAGTTCTTCCTCATGTTCAGATGGAATCTCCTCTCTTGTAGTTTGAAGCCATTGTTCCTCATCCTAGTGTCCATGGAAGCAGAAAACAAGCTTGCTCCCTCCTCCCTGTGGCTTCCTCTCACATATTTATACATGGTTATCATATCTCCTCTTCTTTTCTTCAGGTTAAACATGCCCAGCTCTTTAAGCCACTCCTCATGGGGCTTGTTCTCCAGACCCTTGATCATTTTAGTCGCCCTCCTCTGGACACATTCCAGCTTGTCAATATCTCTCTTCAATTGTGGTGCCCAGAATTGGACACAATATTCACCAAAATCTGCTAAGTATTCAGCTTGCTTCATTGCCATTCCATTGTGTTTCCTCTCCCCTATTAGTTGCACTGAATTTTCAGTACAAGGGACTAGAAATGGATGTCCACCAGGGACGATTCCAGGACAACGGGTTCTGCGGGTACGTCCTGAAGCCGGAATTTCTTCGGGACCCACACTCTGAATTCAACCCCAAAGCCATCACGAAAGGGCCATGGTGGACCCCGAAGAAACTCAAAGTCAAGGTAATAGAAAGTTGCCAACAGGAATGCCTCCTTCAAAGAGGGTGATGGGAAAAGAAAGTTGTATTTGCGCAACCTTGTTGCTCAGTTTACTATAGAGTTGGAAAACTCACTTTTAGGGGATTGTAATTCTCAAAATCCCACAGCCTTGTATGACCAGTGGCTATACAGCAGGCATGGGCAAAGTTGGGCCCTCCCGGTGTTTTGGACTTCAACTCCCACAATTCCTAACAGCCGGTAGGCTGTTAGGAATTGTGGGAGTTGAAGTCCAAAACACCGGGAGGGCCCAACTTTGCCCATGCCTGCTATCCAGTCTAATGTTCGTCCTCCAGATGTTTTGAACTTCAGTTCCCACAATCCCTAACAGCTGGGATTTCTGGGTGTTGAAATCCAAAACACCTGGAGGACCAAAGGATGAGAACCCCTGGTCTACAGGATTCTGGGAATTGTAATTTCCAAGATATAATCTAATACACAAACACACTTGACCAGACTGTGAAAGAAAGTTGCAGCCTGCCACAGGATAAATAATAATAATAATAATAATAATAATAATAATAGAACAATTTATTTATTTGTTATCTACCTCTTCTTGCGGCTCAAGGTGGGGTACTGTGACGATATGAAAATCATACGTAGTTCACATTTGATCAGCCCTCACACTGCCTTGCCAGAGAAAGAAAATATGCCACGCAGATGAACATTAAAGAACAAGTAGCTTACTCTTCGTAGTTCAGAACAACATGTGATCAGTTGCATTAAATGGTCTTTCTTTGTCCATTTGGATAATCTTCTTCAGCAGCTCATGAAGCAAGAGTAGACTCCAAACTGTCCCACAGTCTGCTTCTTTGCAAGCATCTACATAGCTCAAGCCTGAAAAATGTGACAGTGTCCAAAAGTCCCAGGCTCAGCCAGCTCCCTGGGCATGACTTTCTCTAAGGAGCCGCCGGTGGCACAGTGGGTTAAAGCCCTGTGCTGGCAGGACTGAAGACCAACAGGTCGCAGGTTCGAATCCGGGGAGAGGCGGATGAGCTCCCTCTATCAGCTCCAGCTCCTCATGCGGGGACCTGAGAGAAGCCTCACACAAGGATGATAAAAACATGAAATCATCCAGGTGTCCCCTGGGCAACGTCCTTGCAGACGGCCAATTCTCTCACACCAGAAGTCACTCCTGACATGACCAAAAAAAAAAATTTCTCTAAGCATGTGCATAACTCAAGCCTGAACAAAAATGTAACAGTAACCAAAAGTCCCAGGCTCAGCATTCTCCTGGGCATAGTCTGACCAATCAGCTTCATGCATCTTATTTTGAAGTTGACACACATGCACATTAACTGATTTCTTACATGCTCCAACAGGTACAACATAGGCCCCTTCTACACTGCCATATAAAATCCAGATTATCTGTTTTGAACTGGATTATATGGCAGTGTCGACTCATATAATCCAGTTCAAAGGAGATAATGTGGATTAGTGCTTTCATAATATGGATTAGATGACTGTGTCGAAAGGGCCTTGGTTTAAACAGTGAGATAGAACAAAGCATTATTACAATATACCGTATATACTCGAGTATAAACCGACCCGAATATAAGCTGAGGCACCTAATTTTACCATAAAAACTGGAAAAAGGTGAGAAATGTAGTTTTTGAGTATTTACATAAAACTGTAATTTAAGATAAGACTGCCCAACACTGATTAAACCATTATTCTAACTTCCTTCAATGTAAATGTGCTTACCTATTACCAATAATAATAGAGTAAAATAATAAATGTAACAAAAATAATAGAGTAAATAATGGAAATTCAATAATAATAGTAATAATAAAGTAATAAATGTAATAACAATAGAGTAAAATAATAGTGTAATACTAATAAATAGAGTAAAATAATAAATGTAATAAAATAATACAATAAAATAAGGTAAATGTAATAATAATAGAGTAAAATAATAAATGTAATGATAAAGTAAAAAATTTAATAATAACAATAGAGTAAAATAATAAATGTAATAATAATAAATAGAGTAAAATGATAAATGTAATAAAATAATACAATAAAATAATGTAAATGTAATAACAATAGAGTAAAATAATAATGTAATAATAAGAAATAGAGTAAAATAATAAATGTAATAAAGTAATACAATAAAATAATGTAAATGTAATAATAAGAAATAGAGTAAAATAATAAATGTAATAAAATAATAATAGAGTAAAATAATTTAAATGTAATAATAATAATAGAGTAAAATAATAAATGTAATAAAAATAATAATAGAGTAAAATAATGTATATGTAATAATAATAATAATAATAAATGTAATAAAATAATATAATAAAATAATGTAAATGTAATAATAATAATAGAGTAAAATAATAAATGTAATTAAAATAATAATAGAGTAAAATAATGTAAATGTAATAATAATAATAATAATAGAGTAAAATAATAAATGTAATAAAAATAATACTAAAAACAGAGTAAAATAATAAATAACCTTGACGTGAGTATAAGCCGAGGGGAACCTTTTCAGCCTAAAAAAGGGGCTGAAAAACTAGGCTTATACTCAAGTATATATAGTATATAAGTAATACATGAAGATAAAATACAGCTTTAAATTTATCAATAAATTGTGAGGATAATGATTTATCATCATCATCATCATCATCAAAACAAGGGATAAAGCAGTATTGTAACATATGCACAGAGTTAAAATCCACAAATGAGATGCAGATTAAAATTAATAAATTAAAATGGACTGGGTAGCCTAACTTTGGCCTTCCTTGGTCTCATTTTCACATGGTGCAATGACCAAGGTTTGGCATCTTGTCTCCACCTGATAGGATGTTAGGATATATTGTTTGGTGAGGAGCGCAGAACTGTCGTGGCCTTGGTTTTCTTGCTTCCTGTTTTCCCCCTTACAGGTCATCTCAGGACAGCAGCTGCCCAAGGTTAACAAAAGCAAAAACTCCATTGTCGACCCGAGAGTGATTGTGGAGATCCACGGGGTCCAGAAGGACTACGACAAGAAGCAAACCAAAGTCATTGATAACAACGGTAAGAAGAGATCTGATCAGGGAAGGCAGAAAAAGGGATTGGCAATAGGATGCGCCAACTTGTTGGACATTTCCCTAGAAGAGGTCTGATCCCAGAGGACAAGACCCCACCTTGTATCAAAACGTTAATCTCATAATTTAAACCAGTGGTTCCCAAACTTTTTTTTGACCAGGGGCCACTTGAACAGGGACTGGTTGACCAGGGACCACTTTGACCAGGGACCACTTTGACCAGGGACTACTTGACCAGGGATCACTTTGACAAGGGACCATTCTGACCAGAGAGAACTTGACCAGAGACAACTTGACCAGGGACCACTTTGACCAGGGACTACTTGACCAGGGACTACTTGACCAGGGACCATTTTGACCAGGGACCATTTTGACCAGGGACCACTTGACCAGGGACCACTTGACCAGGGACCATTTTGACCAGGGACCACTTTGACCAGGGACCATTCTGACCAGAGACAACTTGACCAGGGACCACTTTGACCAGGGAACACTTGACCAAGGTCCACTTTGACAAGGAACAGCTTTGACCAGGGACAAGTTGGACCAGGGACCACTTTGGCCATAGATCACTTGACAAGGGACCACTTTGACCAGGGACAACTTGACCAGGGACCATTTTGACCAGGGACCATTCTGACCAGAGACAACTTGACCAGGGAACACTTGGACCAGGGACTACTTTGGTCAGGGACCTCTTGACCAGGGACCACTTTAACCAGGGCCCACTTGACCAGGGACCACTTTGACAAGGGACAGTTTTGGCCAGAGATCACTTGACCAGGGACCATTTTGACCAGGGGCCTCTTTCCAACATTAGTACCAAAAGGTTTACAAATCAGTTTTTGGTCAACTTTAGATTCGATTTGGTTATTTGGGGTGCTGATTCAGAAATTTGCATTGGATAGACAACAGTGTTTCTGTTGGTCATGGGAGTTCTGTATGCCAAGTTTGGTTCAATTCCATCATTGGTGGAGTTCAGAATGCTCTTGGATTGTAGTTGAACTATAAATCCCAGCAACTACAACTCCCAAATGACAAAATCAATTGTTTTGAGTGACAGTCACTCCTTGGGTTAGTAAATGTCTTGTGGCCAAATTTGGCGGCAATTTGTCCAGTTGTTTTTGAGTTATGTTAATTCCACAAACGAACAATACATTTTTATTTATATAGATATAGATATATCGATATAGATTAAATTCCTTGTTAACTGTTCACCTGTGTAAATCCAACTCTGTTACTGATGAAATAAGAGGACCTTCAAAAATTAGCTCCGGGGACAGAACAGGCATTACTATTTGTCTTGCGCAAGAAAGACAAGTTCCTTCTTTTGGCGCCTGGGGATTCACGTTTCCATGGCGCTTAGACAAAAACCAAGATTTTGGCCACCCCACCCCTCTTCTTGGAGTTATTTTTATTCCCTGGTTTCCTAAAATGTAGAAGCGCTTTCTTGGAGCCTTCCTCTCATTAATGTCAATAGCTGCTGTGTTCCTTCTGGTCTCTGAGAATGAGGAAACCCGTTGGCCTGGCATCTCACAAAAGGGGCCTTCCATTGCATTTTGAAAGGACTCCTGAATCCAATAGATGACAAAAATCTTGGCCTCTCTTCAGACCACTGAAGTGATGGGTTTCTTTTACCTCTGTTGAAAGCTAAATCTAAATTTGAAGACATGCCCTCAAAACAGGAGAAGTTTGGAAGGGGGAAAAACATTTAGATTAATAGAATTTACATGAGGATGCTTTAAAGATTTAAGGCAGGCATGGGCAAACTTGGGTCCTCCAGGTGTTTTGGACTTCAACTCCCACAATTCCTAACAGCCGGTAGGCTGTTAGGAATTGTGGGAGTTGAAGTTCAAAACACCTGGAGGACCCAAGTTTGCCCATGCCTGATCTAGATAGATGACTTCTGATTGGGTCAGTGTAGACAACCCATAACCCTGTAATTATAATTTAGAGGTTTTTTTCTCTCTCACACTCACTTTTTACTCTTCCTTACCTCTAGGTTTTAAGCCAACTTGGGATGAAACGTTTGAATTCAAAGTAAACGTCCCTCAGCTTGCCCTGGTTCGCTTCATGGTGGAAGATTTTGACACAGCGACAAAGAACGACTTCATGGGGCAATTCACTGCCCCATTCCTGAGCCTAAAGCGAGGTAAGTCTGCCTTTTAACCAGAAGGTTTCAGGATAGGTTTCAGCTTTCTAGCAGGCAAGGCACACCAAGGAGACCCAAGTTCGATCATTTTATTTGATTAGTGGTTCTCAACCTGTGGGTCTCCAGATGTTATGGCTTTCAACTCCCAGAAATCCTAACAGTTGGTAAACTTGCTGGGATTTCTGGGAGTTGTAGGTCAAAACTGTGGCGTAATGTAGAATAATAGAATCATAGACAATTGCTGCCCTGCTGGCTAAAGATCACCTCTGGCTAAAGAATTTAGCCTTGCCTCTTAAACAAAACAAACACTCAGAGCAGCTAATCTTAAACACTCACTGAGATTCCTAATGCACTCTAAGTCAAGGCTTACCTGAAGCAGAGGGAACAAGATGGCTTCTTGCTTCATCAACTTCTTTGGGAACTCAACTGCCACCTGAGCTCAGGCCCTGACTTATATAGGTTCAACAGGAAGCAACCACTCACTCGCAGAGAGCTTCAAAGAACAGGGAACAATGAGTCACTAATTGCTGCCCTGCAACTGTCAATCACTGCTGTAAAATAAACCACATGTAGTTCACGTTTGATCAGCCCACACACTGCCTTGCCAGAGAAAGACAATATGCCATACGGGTGAACTGTAAAGAACAAGTAGTTTACTCTTCTTAGTGCAGAACCATGTTTGTACAATTTGATCAGTTGTATCAACATGCATAATGCCCTTTTATGAGAGATTTATAACGGTCTTTCTGTTGCACTCCAGAGCAGGGATTCCCTCTGACTTTAAACACCACACAGTTGAGTTAAAATAGCACGCAATTTATTGAGGGTAATAAAAGCCAAAGCAATAAAAAGTAATCAACAGAAAAAGGTAAATCCAATTGATTAGGCAATAAAAAGATTAATCCAAAGAGGAATAGTCCAAATATGTTCATGAAACTAGAGGCTTGATTTCAAAAGCAAAATAACAACAAAGGCACTTAACACAGAAATCAAACAAAGATAAAGGTCCAGGAACTTGGCATGAAGATCTTATCATGAATCCAATGTTGCTTCATCTGAAGCCAGACTCATTACTTGGCTCTTTTATGTCTACTTTGCTTCCCAAACAGCTAAGAATGGATTTTTCCTCAGTTTTGGTTTCACTTCTTGCTTCTGTTCTAATCTGACTGAGTGCCTTAATTTCTGATTTGTTTGTCTTTGCTGGCTAAAAGCACTTCTTCTGTTCAAGGCTTCATTAAAATCTGCACCTGGACATAACTGACCAGGCACAAAGTCTTTCCCAGGCTCGAGACCTTGAGAATCACTTTGCAACAATACAGGCCATCATACCCATTCCCTTCAGGAACATCTTCATGGACAACATCCCCATTCCCATCAGAGGAATCAACTTGAACATGAACAACATTGTTATTCCCATCATCCAAAGCAACCTGATCATAGACACAATCACAGGCTGAACAGGCTGACATGCAACACTTTCTCTGTCCAAGTAGATAAACTCCTTCAGCATCTCATGAAGCGAGAGAATACTCCAAAATCTGTCTCTCCCTACTTCTCTCTTCCAAACTGACTTTCTCTAAGCAACGGCGCTCCATGAAGTCATGCTGGCTTCATGACTTTGGAGGTGTCTATGGACAACGCTGGCTCTTCAGCTTAGAAATGGAGATGAGCACCAACACCCAGAGTCGGACATGACTGGAATTAATGTCAGGGGAAAACCTTTACCTTTACTTTTTTATTCACGGATGTCTCCTTTGAAGGCAGACATAAGGCTGATGTGAATTTGAGACCCTTCATCTGTGGCCCCTTCTACACCGCCACATAATCCAGATTGTCAAAGAAGATAATCCACATTCCCTGCTTTGAACTGGATTATATAATTCTACACTGCCATATAATCCAGTTCAAAGCAGATAATCTGAATGTTATATGGCAGTGTAGAAAGGACTAATAAGAAGGCATCTCCAACTTGCCCTCTACTGTCCAAATCAGGTAGTACTTCCTTAAAATCTTGCTTATTGAAGATTACTTTTTGGAAATACAAGAATCCCCACATTCTTTGGGGTTCGGGGCCCCCATGAAAGTGAAAAGTTGCAAATAAAAAATGCTTAGGTCTTCCAACATGACCGTATGGTTAACTTCCACCGGAAGCTGAACTTCATTTAAGCGATCCCTCGTTGGCCGAGTAGGATAGTCTTCCAGGATCAGTGTTCTGTTGGGTCCATAGGTGACTGTGCAGCCCTATTCTTGATCTGCATCTCCTCCTGCAGTGAGGGCATTGGTTTCCAGGTGGAAGGCAGTCTTGGTCGGGGTTGGCTTGACGCGCCTTCCTCTTGACCTCCAGCTGGAGCTCTCAAGGGCCAGGGCTTCCCAGTTCTCAGTGTCTATGCCAGAGTTTTTAAAGTTGGCTTTGAGCCCATATTTCAATCTCTTTTCCTGTCCACCAACATTCCATTTTCTGTTCTTGAGTTCAGAGTAGAGCAACTGCTTTGGGAGACAGTGGTTGGGCATCCGGACAACGTGGCCGGTCCAGCGGAGTTGATGGCGGAGGACCATCGCTTCAATGCTGGTGGTCTTTGCTTCTTCCAGCACACTGACATTTGTCCGCCTGTCTTCCCAAGAGATTTGCAGGATTTTTTGGAGGCAGCGCTGATGGAATCATTCCAGGAGTTGCATTTGACGTCTGTACACAGTCCACGTCTCGCAGGCATATAGCAGGGTTGGGAGGACAATAGCTTTATAGACAAGCACTTTGGTCTCCCTACGGAAGTCCCAGTTCTCAAACACTCTCTGCTTCATTTGGAAGCCGGAAGCTGAACACAGAAAGGAAGACAACCGAGAGGCTCCTGGAGTATTCTCTCATCTTGAGGAAGTTGACCACAATATTGCACTAAAGGACCGGGAGAGAACATTTTAATTGAATCCACGAATTACCAAATGTGCATAAATCAACTCCGCAAAATATTTGTGGGTTTAGTGTTTGTGGATTTTATTATTTGCAGGTTTGCGACTATAATCCCAGGGAATACTTGTTTTCCCTAGAGCAGTGATTCCCAACCTTTTTTTTTTTGACCAAGGACTACTTGACCAGGGACCACTCTCCAACATTAGTACCAAAAGGGTTACGAATCTGTTTTTGCTCAACTTTAGATTCGGTTTGGTTATTTGGGGTGCTGATTCAGAAAATTGCATTGAATAGACTACATCAGCTCTAGTTTATGATACAGAACATATGCCATTCAGTAGTCACCATCTGCTTGACCACAGAAAACTATATTTAATAATCTAGAGCTGATGTGATGGTAGTAATTTTTTGTGAATAGTTGTTGTGACTCAGCTGGAATCAGAGAGTGTTTCTGATGAGGATGATGGGATGCAGGTTCACAGTTTGGTTCAAAATATCCCTGTTATAGACAGTGAAGAAATGCAGTTTCCCACAGTAAGGCATGAGAGTGTTGATACTGAAAATAGCCAGGTGGAGTTTGACTCAGAAAAGGAGGACAGCTCTCAGCTGATTCTCAGCCTGATAATGAGCAAGCAGGAAAACAGGCTAATACTAATGAACAGACTGACCTTGACGATATGGGAACTTTAGATCGAGCTGACCGGTTGGAATTCCGAATTCAAAGGAGTGAGAGAATAGCTAACAAGAGGGAGACCAGAGAAAAAATGCCTCATGTTTTGCAAAGGATATTAAACAGTGTGTTTGAGACCAGATCTTTGCCAAAGCAACTTCGCGTTTATCTAAGGAGCATGCCTAAACTAGACTGGATTATCTTGCAGTTTTGTCATTCGTGGTTCCAGGACTTTGTCGTGCTTTCTTGGATTTTGCTTTGCTGATGCCTTTTTGGATTAAGCTTGAAGTGCTATGTTATGTTGATCTTTTGGAACATTAACCTTTGTTTTAATTATTAATTAATTAATTACTTATTTAAAAGTTTTATATACTGACCTTCTCACCTCTCTTGAGGGGCTCAGACCGGTTTCCAACCATAATATCACATACAGTTAAAAAACATAATAATTCATTTTACACTAAAACATTAAAACAGTAATTACATTCAAAAACTACAATGGTCAGTCGTCACACTAACTCGTTGTTCATAATCCTTCATCCATATCTGGCTCACTCGTCGAATGCCTGTCTCCATAACCACATCTTCAGCTGTTTCCTGAATGTCAGGATAGAAGGGGTGGTTCTGATCTCCAGTGGGAGAGAGTTCCAGAGTCGAGGGGCCACCACCGAGAAGGCCCTGTCCCTCGTCCCCACCAGACGAGCTTGCGAGGCCGGAGGGACCGAGAGCAAGGCCTCTCCAGATGATCTTAATAATCTTGATGGTTCATAGGGGAGAATACGTTCGGAGAGGTAAACAGGGCAGGAGTCGTTTAGGGCTTTATAGGTTAACACCAGCACTTTGAATTGTTCTCGGAAGCCAATTGGCAGCCAGTGGAGCTGGTGTAAAAGCGGAGTGGTGTGCTCCCTGTACCCAGCACTCGTTAGTAGTCTGGCTGCCGAGCGTTGGACTAGCTGCAGCTTCCGGGCAGTCTTCAGAGGCAACCCCACGTAGAGAGCATTGCAGTAGTCTAAACGGGATGTAACCAAAGCGTGGACCACCGTGGCCAAGTCAGACTTCCCAAGGTACAGGCGCAGCTGGCACACAAGTTTTAATTGTGCGAAAGCTCCCCTGACCACTGCCGAAACCTGGGGCTCCAGGCTCAGGCCTGATGAATCTAGGAGAACTCCCAGACTGTGAACCTGCGCCTTCAGGGGGAGTGTGACCCTGTCAAGCACAGGTTGTAACCCTATACCCTGTCCGGCCTTTCGACTGACCAGGAGTACCTCTGTCTTGTCTGGATTGAGTTTCAGACAAGGATTGAGTTTAAGTACTTTTTTACCTTTTATTTTTGATAAACCATAAAGACTTCTGGCTGTGTGCAGTTTGGTGTTCTTCAGCAAGGTGAATCTACTCTGGGGTGCAACAGTAGTCAGCCATGGATAGTCCCCGCCTGACATCCTTGTTGCTTTGGCATGATAAGAGGGTTTTGCGAGACCAGTTGCTCTCGCTGCCATGTGATTTTGAGGCAACGGTCTAGTAATGGTGAGGCCGTGGACCATATTTTCGTTATTGCAGACCATGGGTGGTCCACAAACCACAGGTTGGGAACGACTGCCCTAGAGTCTAATATAAATTTCAGACACCGAGCTCTTCTCCTGATAGTTTTCTTTGTGCTAAAGAATATTGGGAATGAAAAATATTAAAGGATCTATCCCAATTGTTTTCTTTTTCAGTAGATCTGGTGCAAGGAGACTCTGTATGCGTTTGCCCGGAGAGTTAGATAGGCAACTGTCCAGTTGTTGGAATATACTAAGCAGTTGGCAATATATCACCTTCTTTCATTCACTTCCTCTTTCTTATAATTTCCAGGTTATCGTCATATTCATCTCCTGACGAAGAACGGAGACCAGTACTCCTCCGCCACACTTTTTGTGCACATCGCTATTGCAGACAGCGACTAAGTAACGTGTTCCGAATGTTTGCATTCCAAATGGGATTTGCTGCAAAGCTGTGATTTGGTCCTGCTCTTTGGCCCATTCGGATATGGCTGAGTGTCTTCCCATATAGTTGGGTTGGGCCAAACCTGTTCCTACCGACATTAAACTTCGACATCGATAAGCTCAGCTCTTTCTGAATCCTAGCTGCTGTAATGAAGGGACACGGAAAGACATGTAGCATACTTGAGAATTAGTCAAGTTCAGATATTATGAGACTGATTTAGAAGGCCTTGTAGCCCTGCAAGGTTTATATCCTGGCCTGTGTTCCATTAGTGCCTTTGGATCCATTGCTCCCGTCGTTTTCCGTGTCTGATCAAAACAATAATGCTTTCAATTCCTTTGAAATGCACAAGACTTGGAATGGTGCAGACATAATTAAGTTTCCATACAAGCTCATCCTTTTAAGCAGGAGCGCTTGCATTGAAGAATTTGGCATCATGGAAAGATGGATCTTGCAAATTGTGTCAAGTGTGGAAAACACCTCAGATGACTTAAAATCCACTTTTTCCAACCCAAGGATTTGATCACAGGAAGTTGCTAAAGCGCAGTACCGACAGGATAAAGCACCTGTTGAAGATGCTTATTGCACAATGTCATGATTGTTCTATATTCTCAGAATGCTTCCATCATAATTGCATTGTCTGCCTTCACGGATAGGAAAAACGGATAAGCGGATCCAATATTGATATTGTTCCACAACCCTTGCGTGATAATGTTCTTCCATTGCAGTCCTGGTTTTGCAAAGCAAAAGGAAGGTCTCCCTAGAACGTTGAAACATTGAGACTACGTGAATGTGCCATTGAGATAAAATAGGGAAGAAATAAATAAAAATAGCAGAAAAAATGCAGTGGGGATGTGCTGGATAGGTCAAACATGGGTAGGAAGAGAGTTGTGAGGGAGACAGATTGCAGGAATTTGCATCAATAGAGTTCCAGAATCACATTTACAAACTCTAAAATGAGGACATTAAATAAGGAACAATATTCAGAAAACAGTAGAATTCCAGACAGGAAACAAGCAGGGCCAGCTAACATCTCCCAACAAAGGATTCTTCCAGGCAGGAAGCAGCAATGCTATTCAATGCTAATTAAGGTGGCCAATTGCAACATTCACACTTGCCTTAAGCAGACAAGTGTTCTGTCTGCCACCCTGGACATTCCACAGATATACAAACTTCTCTTGCCTGGTTTCCAACAGCCCTCACAACTGGGTTGTTGTGTGTTTTTCGGGCTGTATAGCCATGTTCCTGAAGCATTTTCTCCTGATCTTCCGCCTGCATCTGTGGCAGGCATACTCAGAGGCTGTGAGGTCCTCACAACCTCTGAGTAAGTCTGTTATAGATGTGGGAGAAACATCAGGAGAGAATAGTTCTAGAACATGGCCATACAGCCTGGAAAACTCACAGCAACCCAGTGATTCTGGCCTTCAGCAACACATTGGAAGAGTTCTTCCTAATGATGCTATGTTTGCTTTGATAGCTTAATTGCAAGATAAATTGATGAAAGAAAGTCCAAAATCAAGTATTTGGATAAGACAAAAGATTTCCCACATCCTTTCCTTAGAACCAGAAGAATTCATAAGCAACTTTCTGGACTTTTGAGATTTCAGTAGACATTGCTTTCACACTGTTAAGCCTTGATTAGGAATCAAAAAGGTTGGTAACTTTAGAAACTCCCAACTTGAGCTTTCAAGGATGCTGCGTTTTGAAGCAAAACAAGAGGCTATTCTGTGTTGTTTTCAATATAGAATAGCAGTGAACTCACCTTTTCCATATTTTATAACAATTGTCCTCCTGCAGTTTCACGCTTAGGACAAGAGAGGTGGGATTTGGGATTGAAGTTAAGTCTGGGTTGTTGTGAGTTTTTTGGGCTGTATGGCCATGTTCCAGAAGCATTATCTCCTGACGTTTCACCAGCATCTATGGCAGGCATCCTCAGAGGTTATGAGATCTGTTGGAAACTTGGAAAATGGGGTTTATATATCTGTGGCACGCCCAGAATGGGAGAAAGAACTCTTGTCTGTTTAAGATAGGTCTGAATGTAGCAATTGGCCACATTGATTAGCATTTAATAGCTTAGCAGTTTCAAGGTTTGGCTTCTTACTGCCTGGGGGAATCCTTTGTTGAGAGGTGATTAGTTGGCCCTGATTGTTTCTTGTCTGGAATTCCCCTGCCTTTTGAGTGTTGTTCTTTATTAACAGTTATGATTTTAGACTTCTTAAATACTGCTAGCCATTTTCCTAGTTTCCGACAGACCTCAGAACCTTCAAGAATGCCTGCCACAGATGTGGTTGAAACGTCAGGAGAGAATGCTTCTGGAACATGGCCATGCAGCCCAGAAAACTCACGACAACCCAATGATTCCGGCCATTAAAGCCTTCAGCAATACTTTGAAGTTAACCCTGATTTTGGAAAAGCCCAGTTTTAATCCAACACACTGTGAATAACATTAACTACATGTCTCTGGCAAATGAGCTGTAACTGTTTGATCTTTTATACTGACTTTTACTATTCTTTTAAAGCGAGTGCCAAGATCATTGTTTACAATGATTTGTTCTCTTCTCACCTTTGAGTCATTTGTGTCTTTGAGGAAGCAAGGAGATTACGCAAGTAGAGGCTCTTATCTCAAGGAAGTGAAGGTCAATGGGAATTGATCTTAACACCAGCAAACTCTGGCCCTCAAGAGATCATAAAAGTGATATTTGATACACTGGTTCCTGGTTTCTAGAATTTTGGAGCATCATGTGGTGATACACACCAAGGACCTCTGTTGAAACCATAGACGTTTCCAGTGAAGTTCCTGAACTGCAGAATCTGAAAGCTTTGAAAGGAGTGCTGTTGCATAGTGCAAGATCTGATATCATTCTGACTTTTTCATATTATGTGCGAGATACACTACAAAATCCATGTGCACAAGCGAAAACTGAACATTTTAACACTGGGTTGCTGTGAGTTTTCCAGGATGTATGACCATGTTCCAGAAGCATTCTCTCCTGATGTTTCGCCCACATCTATGGCAGGCATCCTCAGAGGTTGTGAGGCCTGTTGGAAACTAGGTAAGTAAGTTTTCTGTGCTGTCTGGCCATGTTCTAGAAGCATTCTCTCCTGACGTTTTGCATTCATCTATGGCAGGCATCCTCAGAGGTTATGAGGAAATTGTTGGAAACTAGGAAAATGGGGTTTATATATCTGTGGGATGTCCAGGATAAGAGAAAGAACTCTTGTCTGTTGGAGGTACAGTAGGTGTGAATGTTCCAATTGACCACCTTGATTAGCATTTAATGGAAACATCAGGAGAGAATGCTTCTGGAACATGGCCATGTAGCCCGGGAAACTCACAATAACCCAGTGATTCGGGCCATTGAAGCGTTTGACAATACATTGTCAAAAACATCTTACATTGGCAATACCACATATTGGTTTTACATTTGTGTATATGAGGTCTGTTGGAAACTTGGCAAGTGGGGTTTCTATATCTATGGAATAATATCCAGAGTGGGAGAAAGAACTCTTGTCTTTGATGCAAGTGTGAATGTTGCAATTGGCCACCTTGATTAGCGGGTTGTTGTGAGTTTTCTGGGCTGTACGGCCATGCTCCAAAAGCATTCGTTCCTGATGTTTCGACTGCATCTATTGCAGGCATCCTCAGAGGTTGTTGAGACCTCACAACCTCTGGGGATGCCTACTATAGATGCAGGCGAAACATCAGGAGAGAATGCTTTTGGAACATGGCCATACAGTCCGGGAAACTCAAAACAACCCAGTGATTCCAGCCAAGAAAACTTTTGATAATACGTCTTGATTAGTATTGAATGGATTTGCAGCTTCACAGCCTGGCTAATTGCTGCCTAGAGGATCCTTTGTTGGGAGGTGTTAGCTGGCCCCGATTGATCTCCTAACACCTCCCAACAAAGGATCCCCAGGCAGCAATTAGATTGGGCAGTTTTATTGTTATATTGCTTTTATATGGTCTATATTATATGTAATGTTTTAACTAGATTTTATGTTGTTGGGGGCATTGACTGCTGACTGTAAACTGCCTTGAGTCGCCTTCGGGTTGAGAGAGGTGGTATATAAATATGGTAAATAATAATAACCAGCCAGGTTTTAAAGCTGCAAGGCCATTCAATGTTGGTGGCGAATAGCAACATTCACACTTGCCTCCAACTGACAAGAGTTCTTTCTTCCACCCTGGATATTCCATAGATATATAAACCCCACTTGCCTAGTTTCCAACAGACCTCACAACCTCTGAAGATCCCTGCCATAGATGTGGGTGAAACATCAGGAGAGAATGCTTCTGGAACATGGCTGACAGCCTGGAAAACTCACAGCAACCCAGTGATTCCGGCCATGAAGGCCTTTGACAACACATTTTTACACTGTTCCAGAGATTGCTGTTTAAGTTCTCAGCCTGAACTAGTGTCAAAAACTAGTTGAACATCAATATATTTTATGTGATGTTTTACAGCAAATTGTGGAATTGATGTTCGACATGTATTTTTCTACCATATTTGATGTGCATTAAGCGCCTGGAATGGGCTTCACTCCTGAAAGGAGACAAAGTTTTATTTTCCTATAAGCCCTTTTAGTCGTCCTTGAGGTGATGGTAAACAAACAATCTTGCAGCTTGCTTCCATTTTGGTTATATATGTATAATTCACCCCAAAGTCAAACAGAAATAACTGAATTTGAAAACACTTGAGTTCAAGATACAATTGTATGAACATCAGGGGCAAGTGAATTCCTGGGTAGTTTTGCAATTCCATTTTGAAGCATGATTAATAGGGTTTGGAATGGATTTCTTAATAAACTACAAGTGCCTTACACAGAACTACAACTCCTGTGATTCCGTAGCAATGAGCCACAGGAGTGAAAGTGGTGTTAAACTGCATTAACTCTACAATGTAGATGCATCCTACGTGCTTTGCTTGGAAACAAATCTCTGGATTCACATCTCTTAGTAACAGTTCCTTATAAAGGATCCATAATGGTGTAAACACTTGTGTTGACTGAACTGCTGACCTGAAGGTTGGCAGTTTAAATCTGCAAGAGGGGTGAGCTCCTGTCTGTCAGCTCCAGCTCCCCATTCGGGGACATGAGAGAAACCTCCCACAGGATGGTAAAACAACCAAGCGACCCCTGGGCAAAATCCCTGCAGATGGCGATTCCTCTCACACCAGAAGTGACTTGCAGTTTCTCAAGTTGATTCTGACATGAAAAAATGAGTTCCTTGTAATGGCTAATAGCCATATTCTGTTTGTGTTGATGTTGAACTAAGATGCATTGCAATAGATTCTGTGAAAAAACAGTATGTGCTATTTTAAAAAAAAATCCATGTAATGCTACAGAGTTAAGGGAGATGATAATATGACATTAATAATATATATATGTTTGAATTGTTGGGAATAAAATGGATGAAAATGGATAAAAATAAACTTTTGTGATGTTTCATTTTTTTCCCCTCGCCGTTGATCCATCATATAATATTTGCTTTGGGATACATTTGCAAGAAACAAAAACAAAACAACAACAACAACAAAACCCAATGGGAAATGAAACAGATCTCACAACTGGGAGAGGCTCCTTTTTTGGAGGCTTTTAAGCAGAGGCTGGGTGGCCATCTGTCAGGGGTGATTTGAATGCAATTTTCCTGCTTCTTGGCGGAATGGGGTTGGACTGGATGGCCCATGAGGTCTCTTCCAACGCTAGGATTCTATGATAAACACACACAGTCCTTTGAATGGCAATGCAAGGAATACTATAAGGTCACTGTGCGAAAAAGGGTAAAGGTAAATGTTGCTGTATCAAGAGTTCCATATAGATAACAGCATTATGGGTCTACTCTAAGTGCTGTGGCTGTATCTTATGGAGTCCTGGGCTTTGTAGTTTGGGGAGTCACTCAAGTTTCTAGGCTAATAATCCCAAATAGCCCTTTCTAAGCAGGATGGAGCTATGGTAGACATGGGCAAACTTGGGCCCTCCAAGTGTTTTGGACTTCAACTCCCACAATTCCTAACAGCCTCTGGTCCATTCGTTTCCCCCCACAGCCACTTATGTTGGGTTTGAATAAAAAATAAATCTAATGCACTCACACATCAGTTTTGTTACGCTTGTGCCAAATAGGTGCACTGATGAACACAAAATATGCAGTCACATTCACATGCTCATCCATAAAAGCATCTTTGTCTTGGAAAGAGAGTGAGTGTGCAGGTCCAGAAAGTGTGTACCTGTCAGCCCCCCAGGTGTATAGACTAGGCATGGGCAACCTTCAGTCCCCACAGGTGTCTAGACCAGGCATGGACAACCTTCAGGCCTCCAGGTGTCTAGACCAGGCATGGACAACCTTCAGCCTTTAAGGTGTGTAGACCAGGTATGGACAACCTTCAATCCCCCAGATCAGGCATGGACAACCTTCAGCCCTCCAGGTGTCTAGACCAGGCATGGACAACCTTCAGCCTTTAAGGTGTGTAGACCAGGTATGGACAACCTTCAATCCCCCAGATGTCTAGATCAGGCATGGACAACCTTCAGCCCTCCAGGTGTCTAGACTGGCATGGACAACCTTCAGCCCTCCAGGTGTCTAGACCAGGCATGGACAACCTTCAGCCCTCCAGGTGTCTAGACTGGCATGGACAACCTTCAGCCCCACAGGTGTCTAGATCAGGCATGGACAACATTTGGCCCTCCAGGTGTCTAGACCAGGCATGGACAACCTTCAGCCCTCCAGGTGTCTAGACTGGCATGGACAACCTTCAGCCCTCCAGATGTCTAGACCATGATTGGACAACCTTCAGTCCCCTAGATGTCTAGACCAGGCATGGACAACCTTCAGCCCTTAAGGTGTCTAGACCAGGCATGGTCAATCTTCAGCCCTTAAGGTGTCTAGACCAGGCATGGACAATCTTCAGCTCTTAAGGTGTCTAGACCAGTTATGGACAACCTTCAATCCCCCAGGTGTCTAGACCAGGCATGGACAACCTTCAGCCCTCCAGGTGTCTAGACTGGCATGGACAACCTTCAGCCCTCCAGATGTCTAGACCGGCATGAACAACCTTCAGCCCTACAGGTGTCTAGATCAGGCATGGACAACCTTCAGCCCTCCAGGTGTCTAGACCAGGTATGGACAACTTTCAGCCCTCCAGGTGTTTTGGACTTCAACTCCCATAATTCAGTTGAAGTCCAAAACACCTGGGGGGGGGGTGAAGTTTGTCCATACCTGGTCTAGACCTATAGCTGGAATTCCATACGCTTCCCCTTGATGTTGCCTTGTATATTCAGTACGTCTCGATTCCAAGATTTAGTTTTAAACACAATAAGCATGGGTGTATTCATAGGACACAATAATATCGGTTTCATGCCACTTTAATTGTCCTGGCTCCAGTGAATAGAGTCCTGGGAGGTGTAGTTTTCTGATACAGTTAGACGTATTTACTTGAGAACAATAAAAGCAGTGCCAAATAGTGGCTTGAGCATTGAACTACAACTCCCCGCTTGGTCATGGAGACTCCCTGGCTTACCTTTGGTGAGTCACACTCTCTCAGCCTCGGAGGAAGGCAATAGCAAAGCTATTTTGAAGATATTATGCCAGAAAAAACTTGAGATATGTCAGAAACAACTTGAAGGCACCCAACAACAACAATTAGGGAACTCAGTGGAGTGCCATAGAGAATGCTAAGTATCTCATGAGACTACCAACCCCAGAACTCTATAGCCATGGCAGTTAAAGTGGAATCAAAGTGCTATAAACGTGTGGTGTGGATGTACCCATCCTTTGCTTCCCTTCCCACCAAAAACTACAACGCTGCCCCATTGAATATCGAAACACGCCCAATGGGAAGAAAAATGTCCATGGCAGCCAATTTGGGGTCGTCAAGATAAGAAGATATAATCTACCTAAACATTCTTTGTTAGTATTGATTCCAGGAGTGTGTGTGTGTGTTCTCTAAAATGTCAAGATGGAGATGCATGTCTTTCAAGCATCTTTTCCTTCCACTTGTACCAAGTTGACCACCACACCATTCATCCAGTCAATGAGTTCCAAGCAACCAGGAGAAGGTCAGGGTGGGTTGGGGGTTATATATATATGGCTTCTTTTGCTCAGAAGATTCCATGTTGTTTCTTCTCATTTTGCTGCTTCCACTTGGGCATCTGGTAGAACTCGTCCCTGGTTTTCCCAAAGATGTCGTAAAAATCTTCATCGGACAGATAGCGCTGGAAAGAGAAGAGGGAACACGGGATGAAAGAACCTCCTTCCTTCGGTTTCACCCCATTGTGCAATAACTCCATAAAAGTCCATACATGAATCTGGTAATTTGATGATCAGATTGAAAGACACAGCTGTGTTTGCCTGTATAGCTGCCTCTCCATATCCACAGGTTTTGTCCACAGATTAAACCATCCATGGATTGAAAATATTAAGAAAAAAAATCCAAAAAGCAATTGATTATTTTAACATTTTATACAAAGGACATCATTTTGGGGGCTTGGGTGGTGTAATGGGTTAAACCCTTGTGCTGCTGAACCACTGACTTGGTAGTGGCAGATCAAATTTGCAGGATTGGGTGAGCTCCTGCTGTTAGCTCTAGCTGCTGCCAATCTAGCAGTTCAAGAATATGTGAATATGAGTAAATCATGGTGGGAAAGCAAAAAGATGCTCCATGCAGTCATGCCAACCACACAATCAGGAGGCATCTATGGACAACGGCTTGGAAATGGAGATGAGCAACTCTCCCAGAGCTGGAGATGAACACTGTCTCCAGAGCCGGAAATGAAAGGAGAAGCCTTTGCCTTTGCCTGTGTATTTGTGTCTCATTGTATTTCATCATAACAAGACATTGAATGATTACCTGTGTCTATTTATATGCTGTAATCCACCCTGAGTCCCATCTGGGAGAAGGGCAGAGCACTGCCTCCAGAGCTGGAAATGATAGGAGAAGCCTTTGCCTTTGTTTGTGTATTTGTGTCTCGTTGTATTTCAACAGTACACGTGAAAAGGATCTTGGAGTCCTCGTGGACAACAAGTTAAACATGAGCCAACAATGTGATGTGGCGGCAAAAAAAGCCAATGGGATTTTGGCCTGCATCAATAGGAGCATAGTGTCTAAATCTAGGGAAGTAATGATACCCCTCTATTCCGCTTTGGTTAGACCACACCTGGAATATTTCGTCCAATTCTGGGCACCACAATTCAAGAGAGATATTGACAAGCTGGAATGTGTCCAGAGGAGGGCAACTAAAATGATCAAGGGTCTGGAGAACAAGCCATGTGAGGAGCGGCTTAAGGAGCTGGGCATGCTTTAGCCTGAAGAAGAGAAGGCTGAGAGGAGATATGATAGCCATGTATAAATATGTGAGAGGAAGCCACAGGGAGGAGGGAGCAAGCTTGTTTTCTGCTTCCCTGGAGACTAGGACGAAACAATGGCTTCAAACTACAAGAAAGGAGATTCCATCTGAACATGAGGAAGAACTTCCTGACTGTGAGAGCCGTTCAGCAGTGGAACTCTCTGCCCCGGAGTGTGGTGGAGGCTCCTTCTTTGGAAGCTTTTAAACAGAGGCTGGATGGCCATCTGTCAGGGGTGAATTGAATGCAATATTCCTGCTTCTTGGCAGGGGGTTGGACTGGATGGCCCATGAGGTCTCTTCCAACTCTTTGATTCTATGATTCTATGATTGTAACAAGGCTTTGAATGTTTGTCTGTGTCTGTTTATATGCTGTAATCCACTTTGAGTCCCATCTGGGAGAAGGGCGGAATATCAATAAAAAGTTGTTGTTGTTGTTGTTGTTGTTGTTATTTGATATACAACAAGATTAGAACACAGCAAACAAAATCACTGTTGCATGCCAGAATGAAATTTATGAACATGGATATCCCAAGTATCAGCCATTTCAATTAAGATTTCTTTTGTGATCTAGTTAGGTCTTGATTGGTGAAGGCCAATGAGTAAAGAAGCCCTGCAAAATCTTTTCATTACATTATTTATTCCATTTTCATTCCATAATAGGTATGATGGGTGGTTCACCACTTTACCTCTTTTTGGGTAGGGTCCACACCTTCCGGAAGCTCATCCACTGCTTTATTGATCAGGAGGTCTTTCGCAAACACACCATTTCCACCGGTCTGTGGGGCATTGCTGTTGTTGTAGTTGCTGTTGCTCTTCTCGGGGTTTGTTTGGTAAGTTGGCAAAGTTGTTGTGGTCCTTGAAGCAGCTGGATTGGACACCGTAGGCTTATTGCTGGTGTTCTTGTTGCTCAGGTTGGCATTTTTCAGGTCCTGGCAAATACATAGAGAAGGAGAGAGAAAGAAAGAAAGAAAAGTCTGTCGACTGTGTGGAGTGGGCAAGTGGACTTCATTCACCACAAAGTGGGAAATCATACCCTTTGAAGTCCAAATCACCTGGAAGGCTCAAGTTTGGCCATGCCTCATGTAACCTGTTGAAGCAGTTCGATTTCCCCCCCCCCCATTACTATGTACATCCATTCAGAGGCGGCCCTAGGTAATTTTCAACAGTAAGCAAACAGTACTTTGGCGTCCCGTGCCCCCAACCAATCATCTATATATATAAATTTGTTAGGGGCATCCAACGGAGAAACAAAACTCAAAAACCCCCAACGAAACTTAACCAAAATTCCCATGCCCATAACACAACCCACAAGGTACAAACATATCTACTCAAAATGAAAAACAACACAACAACACACTCACAAAACGGCAAAACAACAAAACTCAAAAATCCCCCAACGAAACTTAACCAAAATTCCCATGCCCATAACACAACCCACAAGGTACAAACATATCTACTCAAAATGAAAAACAACACAACAACACACTCACAAAACGGCAAAACAACAAAACTCAAAAATCCCTCAACGAAACTTAACCAAAATTCCCATGCCCATAACACAACCCACAAGGTACAAACATATCTACTCAAAATGAAAAACAACACAAACACACTCACAAAACGGCAAAACAACAAAACTCAAAAACCCCAACGAAACTTAACCAAAATTCCCATGCCCATAACACAACCCACAAGGTACAAACATATCTACTCAAAATGAAAAACACACAACAACACACTCACAAAATGGCAAAACAACAAAACTCCACAACTCCCCAACGAAACTTAACCAAAATTCCCATGCCCATAACACAACCCACAAGGTACAAACATATCTACTCAAAATGAAAAACAACACAACAACACACTCACAAAACGGCAAAACAACAAAACTCAAAAATCCCCCAACAACACTACTCAAATCCCCGTGCCCATAACACAACCCACAAGGTACAAACATATCTACTCAAAATGAAAAACAACACAACAACACCCTCACAAAAGGCAAAACAACAAAACTCAAAAATCCCCCAACGAAACTTAACCAAAATTCCCATGCCCATAACACAACCCACAAGGTACAAACATATCTACTCAAAATGAAAAACAACACAACAACACACTCACAAAACGGCAAAACAACAAAACTCAAAAATCCCCAACGAAACTTAACCAAAATCCCTGTGCCCATAACACAACCCACAAGGTACAAACATATCTACTCAAAATGAAAAACAACACAACAACACACTCACAAAACGGCAAAACAACAAAACTCAAAAATCCCCCAACGAAACTTAACCAAAATCCCCGTGCCCATAACACAACCCACAAGGTACAAACATACCTACTCAAAATGAAAAACAACACAACAACACACTCACAAAACGGCAAATGAAAAAAAACAAAACTCAAAAATCCCCCAACGAAACTTAACTAAAATCCCCGTGCCCATAACATAACCCACAAGGTACAAACATACCTACTCAAAATGAAAAACAACACAGCAACACACTCACAAAACGGCAAAACAACAAAACTCAAAAATCCCCCAACGAAACTTAACCAAAATCCCCGTACCCATAACACAACCAAAAAGGTATAAACATATCTACTCAAAATAAAAAACAACAAAACAACACACTCACAAAACAGCAAAACAACAAAACTCAAAAATCCCCCAACGAAACTTAACCAAAATCCCCGTGCCCATAACACAACCCACAAGGTACAAACATACCTACTCAAAATGAAAAACAACACAACAACACACTCACAAAACGGCAAAACAACAAAACTCAAAAATCCCCCAACGAAACTTAACTAAAATCCCCGTGCCCATAACACAACCCACAAGGTACAAACATATCTACTCAAAATGAAAAACAACACAGCAACACACTCACAAAGCGGCAAAAGAACAAAACTCAAAAAAACCCCAACGAAACTTAACCAAAATTCCCATGCCCATAACACAACCCACAAGGTACAAACATATCTACTCAAAATGAAAAACAACACAACACACTCACAAAACGGCAAAACAACTGAGCATGCGCATTGGCGCCCAGCCACAAGTTCCATCGCGCGCACACATGGCCTTCCGGCCAACATTCCCTCTGCGGAAACCATGCCCACTCCAAGCCCCACCGCGCCGCTTCCCGCACACACACAGACTCTGCCGCACACACACACGCAACCCCACGCTCCATCACTCCCCCTGCCGCCGCACACACACACGCAACCCCAC